ATAATATCCTCATTCAACTTCATATATTTATGGGAATTAACAAAATGAGAATTTATTTGTAGGTCACAGATTACTGGAGAGTCAATGGTGCATGGAGTGCGTGCGGGTGTTTCGCTTACCTCGGGTTTAGTACTTGGTGTGCTCTTATCGGTACTGCTGTTCCTGCCCGATGAATTGATTCCACGGGGGACGTTGGACGGGGAGTTATCCAGTGAACACTGGGAAGTTATCATCAAAAAAGCTGCAATTGCTACGACTAGTGGTCAATCTCACACCCGGAAGGTGGTCTTTATAATTCATGAATATCAAAGTATGGTTTTGCAGCGGAGTTGGAATGATGATTTTAAATGAAGCGCTAATCAGTGAATATGTATAACTTGAAAACGTAGAATCTCATCTAGTTTGCTGCATGAAAGTTGGAATTGACTAATATCCACTTTTTTCTATGGAGCTCTTTGCGTGTTCTCTATGGGTGTATGTTGTTATGAATTTAGAGTAAAATTTTTCTTAGTGTTAGTTTCTTGAAGTTAGCATCAGATTAATTCGTTTTAGGTTGTTAGAGCGGGATTTGCAGCAACTGAATTGGGAATACGTGAGAAACTTGTGGTTATCCTTCTCGGACAGTCTTCATTAATGGTGGCATTGAATACATCTATCGGCCGGCATGTGCCTCACCTGCAGCTTTTCGCTGATATCTCTCGTATCGATGGTGATATAGCCATTCTTCCGAATCTCGCACCGTATAGACTAAATGGACAACACTCACACATACCAGTTCTCAATCTCATTTTCAATATGGTTGGTTGTTGTATATCAATAATATCATATATTATTGGCATGATTCATGTACTAATCATAGTGTCACTTATCACAAGACATATTTTCGAAAAACGATGGTGTGATGTTATCATTTGAAAGTTGAGAAATTAGATAATGTGTTATTGTTTGTAGCTTGAAACATGTATCTTATTTCGAAGCATTTTTAATCTTTATTGCTTTAAATTTATTTTAGACAATACACGAAAAATTTGATTGGTATTACATGATACCTGATACGACATACGTAAATCCATTCGAACTGATGCGTTTTGTCAATCACGTGAACTGGAACCGTCATGTGGCTATTGGTTTTGGAACTGGAGATGATTCGAAGAGATGTAGCTTGCAAGCCGGAATTTTACTAACAAATCTTGCCATGCAGTCGCTTGTACAGTGAGGGACATGTCCAATTCGTTTTATTCCCTTGGAAATTTTAAATTACGATGATTGCATTGTAATTTGCAGTTCATGTAAATTGGTGTGCAACCGTTCGATAACGGTTGGCGAGAGGAAATATGAAATGAAATGAAATGAAACTTTATTTCGCTGTTGTAAGTCAAAAAAAGTTTTTTTAATATCCACAGGAAAATAGGCCTCCCAACAACGAAGTTGATAGCGAAAAGTAAAGTTCTATATAAGTGGCTCTGATCAGTGTTTCAGACATAGACACTTGTGCAGTTCCATATCTAGCAGTTCAGATCACAATGCATTCGAACTTTGTATACATCTTGCAACAAACTTGTCGTGCACCAGTTACTATCAGGTTTTTCTTTCGCAGTCGGTACCTTCTACGTCATTATTTTTCAGTATGTCATTGATTTTGTTAATTTATTCAGAGTTGGACATATCACTGGTGGAAATTCGATGAAGGATTAACTGAAGGCGGCGGCAGCACAGCGATACACGATACCGTTGAGTGGTGGGCCTCATCATCGCAAGACTTTAATCAGTGATTGTCTTTACTCAGTTTTAAATTTTCTTTTATTACGAATAATTTCATTCCATAAATGTATTAAGATATCTTTCGTGTAGATTCAAAAAAGACTCATAAATGCCTACGTGTTTTTCAGATCCCTTAGTGTCTCACCTTTGCATTCGGACATCGATGCTCATACGCTTCATCAGCATTTCTTAAATGTCGAATTGAATCGTATCGAGTTTGAAATTGATCGCTTATCTGCAGAAATTGTTTCACTGTCGTACGATATTACTGATGGACCGTCGCAACCAGCCGGTTTACCACCATATTCAAAACCACCAGATCGGTATCAGGTCTTTCTCAAACCTTTTTTCCTGAATGCAGTATAAGACGATTTATGCAGTTTAGTTCAGGGATAATTAGCTAAATTTAGCTTTTAGGTTCCGAAATGGCATTTCTTTACAAGCACGGAAATCTTCAAAAATGAGCCAAACCAAAATGTTTACGCATTGAGCGGAGATGATAAGCTGGATGTTGACGAGGTTTGTTACTTGCATGTCAGATTTATATTGAATAAATTTATTCTTTCCCCTTCCTGCTTGTCTAAGTTGAAATTTAGTATTCATTTGGCGATTTTTTTTTATATTTCTAGCTGTTTAGTTAGATGATGAATTATAGTCCCAAATTCAATAATAAACTGATGTTTTAAATTTGTTCTTGACACCAGAATAAGTTAATTTGCATTTTCTCCCCTACAGTTTGATTATAGAGATTTGGGTCCAACAGATTTTAGCTTTTTATTTCGGATTTTTTTGTTCTTTTTATGTTTTTCAATCTTATTTTTATGTTTACATAATTGCATTCATACATGCAATTTCAGATAGTTGCAGCAGCTCGGAAATTTGTTAAAGAAAGTGGTGAAGGGAGTGATGAAGAATTTTTACAACTTCGAAACGGTTATCGTTTGTTTGATCCAGTGAGAGGTATGGATTACATCGTAGATTTGTTATATCGTGACAACGGTGGCGACAAGGTGCATCGTATTCATCTAACCCGAGTAATATCTAATAACCAACTTTTACAGCAAGTAAGTTAATACTTAACTTATTGAGGTGCCTTGCGTAAAAGAAGATACTGATTTAACTTCATTAACTGCAATTTTTATCATTGCTGTCATTCAGCATTCCTCCAGTCATGGTTTCCGGATTTCTTCAAGTAGAAATTCGAGTTTTTGGTGAAGTAATAATAGTATGCATAGAAAGAAATACTTAACTTTTTGAGGTGCCTTACGTAAAAGAAGATACTGATTTAACAATTTTGATACCGCTTGGATCAAATGATGAGGTGGGCGCTGTCCGTCGACTTATTGTTCATTATGTGAACCTATGTCAGTCAACAGCCGGTGATAACCGGCAAACCAGATTCGTTGTGGCTGTTCGTGGTGTTGATCCTTTCGTCATTCGGCTAATTAACGACGATATTATAAAATTAGGAATACGGTATTTTGAAACCTTCAATATTGTTCTTAGTAAGTTTTTGTCTCGTGTAAGGCCCTAGAAGTAGTTTCTCAAAGTCCGAGGCTTTTAAGTTATCATTGCATTTTGTTACTTATCTGATTCTTCCAGATGTAAACCAGCACAAACAGAAACTATGTTATTAATGTTGAAGCAAGATAGTCATCCGGTTTTGGCAGCAGCTGTGCTGGATGAAGCAGTCGATCATTTTGGCCAGCAAATGATGTATCTCTTGTTATCGCCACATGCTGATATTCAGCGTGAATTTCTCGATCGAGTGCGCATCAATACTATCAAGCATTTTCAGGTAGGGAGTTTTTTGGTCAAGATAGTAGTTGTAACAATGTTTGTTTGGGACAGTAAACTCCTTCAATATTTTGCAACTTCTGCAATTGATGTAGCAGATTGATTAGATGCTTTTTAGAGAGTGATATGTAGCTCTTAGGCAAGATTGCAAAGTTCTTCACATAGGATGTTCTGAAATAAGTTGTGCTGCCACCACGATAATATCAAATGCATTTGCAACCATCAGATTTTTTCCCACTTGCTTATGTTCTCCCTTCTATTACTATTTTCACTATCAGTCAGTTCATAACAATCATTTTTGACAGGTATTCTTTCCACTTCCGTTTGTGGAATATCACCCACGAATTGTGAGCGCAAATGAAGCACTGCAATCAAAAATGAAAGTTCCTAACGTCGAGATAGCACATGAAATGGGTGAAACCGATCGAAAATTCCGATCACCGAAAACGTTTGTGAATGGTGCAAATACAGATATATTTATGAGCAAGTTCCGTGATGCTACTTTTAAACGAAACATACGGCCACTTATTGTTCATAAGGTGAGTTTGACAGCTACCATCAGTTAGTTTTCTTTCACCAGCAAAGTTGACAACATGACTGGCATATTTCGTAAGCAACTGTATCACGGAAACTAGTGCAGTGGTGAATTGTCTGGTCATATGCAAGGAAGTTGATTAAAAGAATTATCATAACTGAACTTCCAAAAATCCGTTTGTAATTGAGAGTGAACCTTGTCTGTTTTAACTGTTCGATATTGCTTGTAAGGAGTATAGATATATTTTTCTGTCAATGCTTTGAAAATAGAGATGTGGAATAAAAACAAGGTAATATTTCAGGATCGAGGTCACTTTGACCCATTGGATTTTTCGGTCTTTTCTTTATACGGTGCAGATTTCATACGAATTCGTTCGCGTCTAAACAGTAAATCATTACTGTTGGATTTGTCATCACTGTTTATCGGTCATCAAGATATCCACATGATGCGAGCCGTTGAGCCAGCACTACGATTACGGTACCACAATCGAGTTTGTAATCCAGAATTTGTGGATTCAGATTATGCTCGTTGCTTACTTAGTCGGCGTGAAGGACTTGCCTCTAAGGCACAGCTAGCTAATTTATTGCTCAGTCAGAAAACGAAGAATGTGGTAGCTGCCTGAGTTGATTTTGTTAATTGAAGCAGTTTCCGAAAATTTTTTTTTGAAGATCCCAATACTGTAAGGGAAGTTACAGACAATATATCAGATTATCAGAAGACAGTTAAATTTCTTGAAGAATGAGAAATCGGATAGCCTTGATATTCTTTTTGAACATCTCTCGTATTTTGGAGTACTTTTCCGTGTTTCTCTGATAAAGGTGAAATTTTTCTTTCCGGAAACTAATTGTATTAATGGCTCTCTACTTGTTTCATATTGCTCATATTCTCTCGAAAATGAAGTTGAACATAAGGTCTTTTTTATCGCTACTTGTGCTGATGATTGTTAAGCCTAATAATTATTGTTTTATTACTCAGTTTTATTGTATTAATGCTTTGTGAAATTTTGTTTTGGCATTCAACTGTACAATCTCATAGAGTTTACCCAATTTTTTTTGTTACATCTATGTGTACATTGTTTCCACTCCAAGTACAGTTTCTCAGTTCTAGCATTCTTAGGACCAACTACCAGCAATTCTTTTTGAATTGCATTTTTTCCTATCATGAACTTTGTTATACTTCCATTTTCTTTTAAACATATATATATGTATATATATATATATGTATATATATATATGTATATATATATATATATATATATATATATATATATATATATATATATATAT